GTGCCTCGTAGGTGACGGGAGTGCCAGGTCGCTCTCCTCCTCCGCTCTTCTTGCGCTCCTGGGACTGGCACTGTAAGCTTTTGGGCGGGTTTGGTGGGGGACGTGAGTTTATTATATATGAGTATATTTTTATATTATTTTATATTTACATTTTATGTATTTCTTTTGTTTGTTTGTTTTCATTTGTGGTAATTGTTTTGTTTTAGATATTTTATTGTTTATTTTATTTTGTTTTTTTGTTTGTTTTATTTGGTTTTGCTTTTGATTTTTTGTTTGTTGTGTTTTTTTCTGTAATTTGTTTGTTTTGATGAATGTTTCATTATTTTGTTTTGATTTGTGTTTTATTTGTTTGTTTTGATTGATGTTTCATTATTTTGTTTTGATTTGTGTTTATTTGTTTGTTTGATTTTTGTTTGTTTGTGTTTTAGTTTGGAGGATGGGGGGGGGGTGGAGAAGGGTGATGTTGTTGCTTACTAAACAATTTTCGTTTGCTTTGACGAATCATGGAAGGCTTGTCCATGACTTAAGATAGAGAGAGAGAGAGAGAGAGAGAGAGAGAGAGAAGAGAGAGAGAGAGAGAGAGAGATGAGAGAGAGAGACAGAGAGACCGAGAGAGAGAGAGAGAGAGCCGTGAAATGCAGGAAGAGAGAGAGAGAGAGAGAAACGGATGCACCCCCTACCTCCTTTTTTTTTAAATATACGATGTGATATGTACTCTGGCGTCTTTATTTTTTTTTTCTTTTAGACAAACGAGACAGGATTTTAAAGAAATAAGAGAGAGAAGAGAGAAAATGGAGAAAAATTAAAAACCCCCCCCCCATTTTTTTTTTAATTTACGTCTATATGTACTTTTGGCGTTTTTATCCTTTCCAGAACGCAATGGCGAACGCACAGTTCACCATCCCCGACTACGCCGTCTTCGTGCTCATGCTGGTGGTGTCCGTTGCCATCGGCGTGCACAGCGCACTCAGGGGCGGCGGCTCCTCGTCCACCCAGCAGTATCTGTTGGGGGGGCGGCGCATGTCACCCATACCCGTCGCCATTTCCCTCCTTGGCGGTATCATTTCTGCGATTTCCATATTAGGTAGGGTAGCAGGTCACGTGACTGGGGTGGGTCCACGTCTTCAAAAAAAAAAAAAAAGAAAGTGAAGAATAGTTAGTGTAGTAGTTTGAAGTAAGATATTCGCCGTCTGTCGTTTTGAATGAAATGTGTTATTTCTAAGCATGAAGCAGTGCAGTGTAAAGCACAGTTCTTAGGACTAATATCATTAAATTCAAAATCAGGTTTCAGATCACTGACTGAATATACATACAATAGGTTACATAAGGCAGATCTTACGCCTGGATTATTTGTACACAATTATCTACTTCCTTTTCAGTTCTTATCTTTTCTGTTGTTCATGAGATTACCTTTTTTTTCTATTTTTCTTGCTTTTTCAGCTTCTCCGTTTTCTTATTACTCCCCATTCTCCTCCGATTCCTCCGATTCCTCCTCCTCTTATCCTTATCCCCCGAATCATTTCCTCTATTTTATCATTTTCCTCTTCACGCCCCAAAAAGTTCTTACAAAGTATCCTTTTATCTTCTTAGAAAGTATTCTTTCAATAAGAATCTCATATCTAACCGTTTCAGGTGCGAGGGAATCAAACCAAAGAATGGCATTATTTTTTTCGACTAAACAACAACAATAATGATAATAATAATGATTATAATAATAATAACAATAATAGTAGTAACACTAGTAACAGTAGTAACAGTAGTAGTAGTAGTAGTAGTAACAGCAGTAGTAGTAGTAACAGTAGTAACAGTAGTAGTAGTACAGCAGTAGTAGTAGTAACAGTAGTAACAGTAGTAGTAGTCAGTAGTTAGTGTAGTCAGTAACAGTTAACAGTAGTAGTACAGTAGTAACAGTAGTAACAGTAGTAGTACAGTAGTAGTAGTAGTAACAGTAACAGTAGTAAGTAGCAGTAGGTAGTAGTAGTAGTAGTAGTAGTAGTAACAGTAGTAGTAGTAGTAGTAGTAGTACAGTAGTAGTACAGCCAGTAAGTAGTAGTACAGAGTAGCAGTTAGTAGTAGTAGTAGTAGTAGTAGTAACGTAAGTCAGAGTAAGTAACAGTAGTAACAGTAGTAACAGTAGTAGTAGTAGTAACAGTAGTAGCAGTAGTAAGTAGTAGTAAGTAGCAGTAGTAGTAGTTAGTAGTAGTAACAGTAGTAGTAGAAGTAAAGTAAGTAGTAGTAGTAGTAAGTAACAGTAGTAGTAGTAGTAGTAGTAGTAGTAGTAGTAACAGTAGTAGTAGTAGTAGTAACAGTAGTAGTAGTAGTAGTAACAGTAGTAGTAGTAGTAGTAACAGTAAGTAGTAGTAGTAGTAGTAGTAGTAGTAGTAGTAGTAGTAGTAGTAGTAGTAGTAGAACAGTAGTAGTAGTAGTAGTAGTAGTAGTAGTTAGTAGTAGTAGTAGTAGTAGTAGTAGTAGCAGTAGTAGTAGTAACAGTAGTAGTAGT